ATTTATATCAGCTCCGATATCCATCCATAGAGTATCTGGAAACTGATGTGAAATCCTTGAACTGTGATGCCAATAACATAACATTTGTGTCGGGATTGCGTACCAACTTGTAGAAGTCTTCATCCATACTTGGGAATTCTGGAAGTGTAGCTTCGTGCGGCCCATATAACTTCTGTTTCATAGGTGGTAAAGATAAACATTCATCATACTTGAGCCTGTGAATGTTATCAGTCAACTGTTCAACAACCTTGCCAGCTTAACTGGGCCAAGGTAATGTCTGATGACTATGTTGAAACGATGTAGGAGCATGACATCCCCTGTATTCGGGCATCTGGGGTGGTGAACTCTCTGTCACATGCAGCCGAGTGAGTGAGTGAGTGAGTTGGGTTTAACGCCGCTTTTAACAGTATTCCAGTATGTGGGAGGAAAGCCCGAAGTGATGCAGGTCTCAGATGTTTACCACTTCGGTGAAACCCACGAGCACAGGTATGGTGCTGACAAACCTAGAAACATAATCGGGGTGAATCGGGATTCAAACCCATAATCATGTTTCTGGCGTGCCCAAGGGACCCAACTCTGCACAGCAAATCGCGGCGCCTTAGACGACTGGGCCACCTGTGCCCCACATGCAGCCGAAGCATAGGGATAAGATGATAGAGTTCATGAACTAGTTCCACAAAGGTATAGCCTTCGATGTAATCTCGTTGGGGTGAGTTATCAGCTTGATCCTCAAAACCATCTGACTCTGGGTGGCCTTGGGTATCTCCCATGGGGGTGGATAATCGTAGCACTCCGCGTCTACCCTGGTCTGCAGGCCTGCTGGCTGAGCTTTCTGGTCTATTGTAGATGGGCCTACATCTCCTTGATTTTTCCTATCTCTGTGGCCACTGCTGAGAGCTTCATCTCAAACATGCTCTTCACCATCTCCTGCTGTTCTTTGAACAGTCGGTGGATCAGACTCATGGTGAGTGCAGGGGATGGAGGGTCAGCTGGAGAGGAAACTGATTTTTCAGTTATGATGTTTTCCACTTTCTTCTTGGGAGCCTCGTGCCTCTTGGCCTTAGTCACGGCCCTGGTCATCTTGGAGAAGATCTTCTCGGATGTGTTACTGCATTGCTCACATCTCTTCTCCTTGCTGCAGGTCATGCTTCTGCACTTCACGCAGTTTTCATGAGGATCTCCCGTGACCATGAATCAGTCACACTTCTTGCACCCAGGGGAAGAGGGACACAACATGACAACCTCACAAAATCACCAAACACCAGCTGTACTTACGTGTGTGTTTGACTCTCCAACAGCATTATTACTTTATATTAGACAACTTATCAGAATAATCTTAGGTTAATGTGACTTACTACCAAGTGCTAGATTGTTACTTGTTAACTCTAGCACACACGGGGAAAAAGTGATGACATTATTACATCATGGCTTAGGTAGTTACGAGACTACTTGGCGACAACTAATTGTGTGATTGACAGTGAAGAGGACGTCTGTTGAAAATCTGGAGATTTTAGTTAGTGTGACTGAAGCCAAAATACAGGATTTATGGCAGATATGTAAAAGAGGTAGAAGTATCTATGATCATGGGTTCGAAACCTGGTTAGCCCCAATTATGTTTCTATGTTTGTCAGCACCATACCTGTCCTCATAGGTTTCACTACAGTGGTAAACGTCTGAGACCTGCATTACTTCGGGCTTCCTCACACATTAAGGTGATCGACACGCCATGATATAACTAGAATACTGTTCAAAGCAGTGTCAAACCCTATTCACTCACTCACTGAATGCATGAGGCCAAAACATATCATCATTGAAACCTGGTTAGCCCCTTTTATGTTTCTATGTTTGTCAGCACCATACCCGTCCTCATGGGTTTAACTACAGTGGTAAACGTCTGAGACCTGCATTACTTCGGGCTTTCCTCACACATTAAGGTGATCGACATGCAATGATATAACTAGAATACTGTTCAAAGCAGTGTCAGACCCAATTCACTCACTCACTAAATGCATAAGACAAAACAAATCATCTGAAACTGCATTTTAGTGAAAATGTAAAACATTACTTTCACCTTATCTTGACCTTACACATAGGTCACTCACCTTTTCCAATATGGGCCCCTCCCTTACTGATGGGAACATGTGTTATGTTTCATTGACCCACAGTAAACACTTTTCATAAGGTAAACAAGGCTTTTACCAGGCTATGACCTTGAAGATGAACTTGACCAATGGCTTGACATATCATTGTGACAAAATGATTTCCCTGGCTTGTAAAGGAGATGGCAATAATATGTTATCCCTGATATTTCCAAGCACCACATTGTTTCACAGGGCTCAAAGTTCACTTTTTTACTAACTTGTTCATAGCTAAGTAAATATTTATAATCAGTAGCCAAAATGAAACGCTAGTCGCAATGCAACTTTACCTATTACAATCGTGATAAATAAAAGATTATGTTTATTTAAAGTTGTCTGTTATCTATTATAATTGATTACAGTAAAAGACATCAAATTTGAACACATTGTTGAAATTGTAACAATGTTAAATGTTTGAGCATTAACATATTAGCTGGCTCTCAAATAGATGTTTGTTTTGAGTACTGTCAAACATGATATGATGACATGATCATGGATAGTCACTTTAAAAAGATACTTTACTTCAATCTCAATTTTGGACACAATGGTGTATGCCTAACGTCTTAAAAATTGAAAAAAAACCAAAATATCAGTGAAATTGACTTTATTTAACTTATCACTGATTCATGTAAATTGAAAGTTCCCAGAGACTCTTGTGTGATAGATGAAGCCAACATTCATCAAGGAAAATATCTGCTTGTAAAACATCTTTGTTACTACAAGTAATACACCATCTAAAAGGTCTTATCCTACTGTTCACACATATGAAAGCTATATTTATTACATTATTTAAATAATGCTTTACAACTTAATTAAGTTCGTTGTAGATAAAGATGTACGGTCACACATTCATAATGTCCAGATTATGGACCAAGGAAGTGAAAAATTGACAATTTGCAGCAAATATAAGATTACATAAAATCCACTTACCTATTTCTTTTTTATTTTCATTGTTTATGTAATCGGAAAATTATTTTATAAAGATTTAAAAATAATGTCTGTCTTCACCCATTTCCCGATAACAGCGGCTGTCCACTACGTTTTCTAAGCTTCGTATGAATAACACGTACGTAGAAGAAATGCCAAGTGACACACCATTAGAAAGCTTATTTTTTATCTACATGACAGTAACCTCTCCAAGAGTTTTTTGTTGTTGCTGTTTCTTGCCGAAATCTGCTACAAGGTTCGTGACTGGTCAAATTTAGGGCAGCCAATCAAATTACAGCAATGGTACTGTCCTTGTGTAATGATGAATTTCAGATTTTGACGAAAGTTTTTTGTTAAATTGTGTTATTCTGAACATTTAAAGCAGAAAATTGTGATCTATATTATAAAATTGGAACTTCATGGATGTATCGTGCTAGGTTACGAGCTGTGACAATGCATATATTTGGGCATGAAACATCCAGGCTGAGAAATCGAGGCGACAAAAGCCGAGATGTCATTTGACTTACATTACACGCAATCGCATGAAAAGATGGAAATAATAACTTAATAATAGCTGTAAGTTTGAAAACTTTTATATATATTTTTGTTGATTTTTTATATTACTTTTTATAGTATATTTAAAGATTTGCTGGAAACATATTTATTTTGCTTTTTGACATGTCCCATGTGGACCGGTTGTCAAACTTGAAGTGTGTGTCCAAGAATTTTATTTTCAATAACATTGCGGGAAATAGTTAATATTTTTTTTTGATTTAGCAATAAAAATAATAAATTGAAATGGAATACGTATTTCATACATTTGAAATGCGAGAGATTTTAAAAATGAATGATATGACAGGTAGGTTTAAAAAGTTTTATACCCTCTATTTTGACATGATTACAGCTTGGTCGGTCTACCGGCCTGCGGTGTCTGGGGACTCGAGGCTTCTTGGCCAGTGGGTGTACCGGCCTACGGTGTTGAAAGAGTTAAATTCATGATTTTTCCGTACTCACCAAGAGATAAGTGTTTTAAAATATTTCATTGCATTTCGCAAACTTCACTCGCAAATGTGACCAAATCACTCGCAACTTCGAGCCCTGTTTCAAAAATACAATTGCATATGCTACTCATTGAAAGTAGGTCACTGTGAGTTCATCACTTGTCATTCATAAGTATTCAATCAATATAACTACTACATGCAGAAAAATGTTTTTTAGTTAAGACTGTAAAAATACTGAATGAATGACCTTCACTGAGAATTCAACCCCAAAACATGTAACAGGTTTTTTTTACATAATGTCAATGCTGGAGTTATTATTTAAAAAAAACCCTTTTCATCAGGCTATGACCTTCAGGATAACCTTGACATGAATAGCCCATTTGTCAAAACAGTTTTGAGGTCTATACACGCTATCTATAGATAATATGTGGTGTCAGGAAATTCTTCTGGGGCATATTGGAGGTCTGAAATCTCTAACATCTGTCATGTCATGTCACGAGGATCAACAAACACTGAAAAATTTACATCTTACAGCACTAATACAGAATATTCTCGATATGTATTATTATATTAGCACTGTAAGATGTAAATGTACTTGCTGTTTGTTGATCCTCATGATCCATGACTGACAACTTCCTTCTTGTTCTGGGTCATGCCTACCCGTAATTTGGAAAGTTGCGGTCTGTGTGTTTTAGTGCTGCCGTTTCCATGTTTTTGGCATCATGCTTCCAGATTTATGATGCTGTTTCTAAGTTTTTGGTTATGTTCTCATTATTTTCTGTTGCCAATTCCTTGTGTGTATGACAGCTTTTTGTTGCAGTCTGTCAGTTTTCATTGGTAGTCCTGTCTTTGGGAGACATTATTTATGTACAGCAGTGTAGCAAGAGTTAGTTTGCAAGATTTGAGTTTGAAAATTTTAATATCATATAATTACCACTGGTGGTGCAAGCAGTTTGTTGAGGTCCTCAAGTGACATAGTAGAGGTATCCCTGGTAATTGTGCGTAATATAGATCCAGCAGCTTTGTGTTCTGTTGGCAGAAGGTTGCTGTTGTTCAGCATCTCATCTAGAAGCTCCATTACAGAACTTTTCAGAGTCAGATCTGACTCAAAATCCTGCAACAAGGAGAGGGGGGAACACATTTTTCTCATCTCCAGTGGGGAATAAAATGAAAATAATGACACAGTTCTATGTTATCAAAACATTTTTATATAAATGTTAACATTATTTAAGGACTGGTCATTTATTATAGGGGTGTTTGTGTGTCATGAATAAATGTTAAATTAAATGGGAGGAAGACAGCAAAATCTCATACAGTCCTATACTAAGTTGTCTCCTCTCCCCTCCCCCATAATACATGACCAGTCCTTATGGAGAGACATGCATGCCAAAGTTTAACTTCCTCAGGTTGGCAGTTTCAGAGAAGAAGCATACAAAACCACATGTGTATTTTAAAAGAATTTAAGGACAGTGTCTTATTCAAGTAAAAAACCTGTAAACAATGATATGAAACCATGGATCAGCTCAATAATGCAACACAAACCCCACCCACTCTATTCTAAGCCATTCCGGACACAAGTATAAAGGACCAACCACTTGAAATTCTTGGGGGGGATTTATCAAAAAATAAATAAATTGTCCCTGAAAATTCTTGAAAAAAATAATTCTGCTTCAGACTTTTGAAAAAAAAAGAACTTGCCCGCACCAAAAATTGCATCATTTAAAATAATATAATATCTAGTAGCTGTAGCTGAACAAAAAAAAAATCAAAATTCCAGTCCTCCACATAAAACAAATGGTCGGTCCCTTAAATAATCTCTTAGTGGGTGTGGACTAATCGTTTTTAGGTTCTTGGAGAGATAATTGAAATAAGATTAATTGCTTGGTGAGCAAAAAACATGCCACAGAATCACTTGCCACAAAAAATGAAAGAGTAATGGCCATAAACTGATTTTTTAATATGGCTGCTGTGAAGCATGAAAAAGGGTATATTTCAGCAAACTTCTTCCAGAAAATTCCTTTTATTATATTTACAACTATAATGAAGCAATAGTGTCTATACCCTTTCACTAAATATTAATGAATAATGAGTCAAACTGCAAATTGTAAGTCAGAAAATCTGATGAATTCCCATTAACAATTAATAGCCCAGCAGATTTGCATAGTCACATAGTGACACAAGCATAAAATTTGGCATGAATACTACTCTGGTACCCCTTTCTTCAAAAAGCTCATAAGCCACAGGAAAATGGAAAATTCAAAATGGTGGCTATTTTTCCAAGATGGTCGACATTTCAGGTAATTAATACCATTTTGTCTAAATAGGTGACTGAACTGAATGGTTTTGTGTGGAACTATACGTTTGTAACAATTCAGAAGCTGATGTTACTTATCTTTAATCAATCAGAACCTTCATATATGACATATTTATTTTCTTAATTTAAATTTATGTATTTTACACATTTTATTTGAAATTTGCTGTTTTTTCTTTTTGTTTCTATGTGGTTTTTTTGTTCTTTCATGTTGTTAGTGCTGAATTGATACTTATCATACAGAGTTCCTTTGACTAACATCTTTTTGTTTCATTGTCATTCAAAACTTGTATTGAGGGATTTAATGTTGTCAATGTCAGTCTTATCATGTTCAGATCTGACAAAACTTAAATTGCAGGATCATTCCTGTCAGTGTATACAGATGCTAGTCCTCGCAATTGCTGCTGCACAAAGCTGAACATGGCAGACAAAAATGATAAACACTTGTGTCTCATACGGCACTGAGTCCTGCAGGTTCACTTTGTCAGTTGTCAAAAAGACATGCCATGTCATCTTGCTTCTTCCATCCCCAAACAGCAGTTTCCATTTGGTACATGGTTGCTTGGCCCCACATATGCGGCATGCTTAGCATGTTGAACAATAGCTGCCTGCGTTGGGAGACTTGCTTGATATGATATCTGCATTTGAGCAAGCATGTCCAGTCTTAAGGAAAAGAATTTATGGATGACAACTTCTTTTTTATGAGGAACACAACATTTCGGAGTATAAACTTACTCCTTCATCAGGTGAATAAATGTTATGAGGCAGAGAACATATACATGTACCTGTAAGAACTACAAATGTAATAAGGTAACAAAGGTGGAAACTTAGCAAAGGGGAGCCAACAGATAATTGACGCTGATAGGTGATTAGCAATGTACAAAGGGAAGGGGACGGTCGCATGTAACATCGCTCTGAGAAAAGTGCTACTTATCTCATGATCTATACAGCTGTACAACTTGAGAGAGTACCTACTAACAACTCAGCATCACAGAAAAACAATGCCGTGAAAACGAAGTTTCTTGGAAAGTGAGTTTAATGGTGTTTTTTTTATCAGAATCTGTAAAACTATTTGCAATAACTAAACTATATAGCCATGCATGTGTTAACAACCCAAACCTATTCAACAATGGAGTCTTCACCAGAGTCACACAGTGAGCGCTCAGCTCCTGACTGGCTAACAAAAGAAGAATCAGACAAGGTCTGCAGTACACAGCCCAGCGATGAGTGAGTGAGTGAGTGAGTTGGGTTTAACGCCGCTTTTAACAGTATTCCAGTTATATCGCGGCGTGTCAGCTTAATATGGGAGGAAAGCCCGAAGTGATGCAGGTCTCAGACGTTTACCACCTCGGCGAAACCCACGAGCACAGGTATGGTGCTGACAAACCTAGAAACATAATTGGGGCGAACCGGGATTCGAACCCACAATCATAGGTTTCTGGCATGCCCAAGGGATGCAACTCGGCACAGCAAATCGCGACTCCTTAGACGACGGGGCAAACCTTGCCCCTGCCCAGCGATGAACAGGGCAAAGCCATGTATCTGGAGATTTAGAAAAACTTAGACACAAAGAAAAGTGATCACTCATGAAAAGCTTATTTAGTATTTTACGACAAAAGCATGAAGGATATCAATCACGTCAGAGAGAGGATAATGGTGACAACTTTCCACCAGGGTCGCTTGTCAAACGACGAAATACAAATGGCGGTGTTCACAAAATGCCCTCGATAAATGTGCATGAGGAGAAGAAACCCCTCAAATGAAAACTATAACTGAAAACGGAAATTCAACCCTTTTAATAAACCCACAAGATATTTACAATAAACACATTATGTACAAATTGAACTGCCCTGGTATGGAAGTATGCACTTGGAAGAATAGCCCTAACTTCCCTGGTATGGAAGTATGCACTTGGAAGCATAGCCCTAGTAGTGCTCTGAAAACACGCAAGCTATGAGTAAGAGCATCTCGCGATGCGTCCTACTCCTATCAGCCCTAAATCTCATCTGCCACGTTCAAGCAGTCACGTGTTACATTCAACCCGCCAAGGAGACATACGAATTCCGCGAAGTAGGTTATGTTTGGTCGATTCCGCGAAGCTGGTGCGTTCGAAAGATGTCCCAGTAACCTGTCCAAGAACACCTTCTGAACATACCCCCCTACTTGGCAGTTTACTGGCAACTATATATCTGTTTACTGGCAAAGAATACAACTGTTACTGAATAACTGAAATACATGGCAATGTAAATATGATCATGGACAATATACATACTTACCAACTAACAGAAGCATAATCCAACAATATGAATCCATGACATCTGTCACAAATTAACTGTCAAATACATTCACACGTTAACCTCACGAGTGTTACATGTCAAAATTCAATCAACTCATTTCTGTCCAAAATGCAGATTGAGTGCAAATGTCACATCAGTTTATTGTACTGTCACTTTGTCTTTGTTCACAAATAGTCCATTGTCCACAAAGTATCCAAATTGTCCACAGACTGTCCACAACTGTCGACAGACTGTCCACAGATTGTCCACAGACTGTTCATAGATTGTCCACAGACTGTCCACAGATTGTCCACTGATTGTCCACAGATTATCCACAGATTGTCCACAGATTGTCCACAGATTGTCGAAAATGTAAGTCAGTCGTTCCTCTGAATGTCCACAAATGTCCACAAAATTTCATGAAATGTCCTTGAGAAGGATAGAGGTTAAGCGCGAATCCACATGCTGTCACTATGCTGTCCATTCCAGTGGGCATATCCTCGTCACTGGCCGGGTAAAAGTTGAATTGGCGACTCTGACATCCACCACTCTCACATGTCCATCCGGTCCTGGGTACACACGCTCCACGATTCCGAGCGGCCATTGTCCCCTTTGTGTTTCTGGCGACACCAACACAATGACGTCGTCGACACGCACATCCTTTGAGGGTCTGTTCCACTTCCTCCTGGTGTTTAGAGTTGGCAACCATTCCCTCATCCATCGACGCCAGAAAGGTCTCATCAGCTCTTGTAGCCTTCTCCAGCGCTTTCGAGGATGATAGTCTGTTGTGTCCACTTCTCCAATCATTCTGAGATCTGCTGGATTCGAGCAGTTGTAGAGGAACCTATTGACCCAGGCACATGTGCGAGTAAGCTTTTTCCAACATGAAAACGTTGTTGGCTCAAGTCTCTACTCGGGATCAGCCTTTGCCATGACAGTATAGGCAACAATTGTCTTGCAGCCCAAGACAAGTCTCAGATCAAGTACAGCAGCCATTAGCTTAAGCCTAGGAATGCTGCATGCTTTGAGGGGAGTTATACGGTTCTTTGCAGCAAACCAACCTACTGGAGCTGTCACCATTTTGGTAAGTATACACTGCAAATACAGATGTGCCATATGCATCCTCTGATACATCGACAAAGGTATGTATGCAAGTAGTTTGTACACCTGAACTGGTGCGCAAACATCTTGGAATTTCTAGTGCTTCTATGTCTTTCCATTGACCTCACCATTCAGTGATTTTGTCTTGCATGTGCTCTGGTAGATCACCATATCCCAGTCATGTCCAGTCAACCACAGGTTCTGCAGCAATATCTTTGCTGTGACGATGAAAGGACCTAGGAAACCATGAGGATCAAACAATCTAGCAACCTGTCTAAGGAAACCTCTTTTTGTAGTTTCAGCTGTGGGTAATGGCTCTGCTTTAAATCTGAAGATATCGTCTTCTGGTATCCACATTAGCCCAAGAGCTTTGACAGATGGAAGGCTGCCTTCCCTGATATCGATTTTGGATGCACGATCACTTTG